TGTGGAGGTGGGAAGTTTTGACCAATGTCTAAATACGAATGTTGGACATCGCGCGTACTACTTATATGCGAGTCTTAGGGTAAGATTTGGACATGAATTTCGACTAAAAAATCGGTGCTCAAATTTGAATGCCAGATTAATCTAGTGGGAAACCCATGAACAAAAAGCCCAACCTCGTAAAAATCGGATGAGATTTGGCCGAGTTATGGAGGTGGGAAGTTTTGACCAATGTCTATATACGTATCTTGTGGTAAGATTTGGACATGAATTTCGACTAAAAAATCGGTGTTCAAATTTGAATGCCAGATTAATCTAGAGGGAAAACCATGAACAAAAAGCCCAACCTCGTAAATATCGGATGAGATTTGGCCGAGTTATGGAGGTGGGAAATTTTGACCAATGTCTATATACGTATCTTAGGGTAAGATTTGGACATGAATTTCGACTGAAAAATCGGTGTTCAAATTTGAACGCCACATTAATCTATAGGGAAAACCATGAACAAAAAGCCTAACCTCGTAAAAATCGGATGAGATTTAGCCAAGTTATGGAAGTGGGAAATTTTCACCCATGTCTATATACGAATCTTGGAAGTCGCGCGTACTACTTATATGCGAATCTTAGGGTAAGTTTAAGACATGAATATCGACTGAAAAATCGGTGTTCAAATTTGAATGGCAGATTAATCTAGAGGGAAAACCATGAATAATGAGCCCAACCTCGTAAATATCGGATGAGATTTGGCCGAGTTATGGAGGTGGGAAATTTTGACCAATGTCTATATACGTATCTTAGGGTAAGATTTGGACATGAATTTCGACTAAAAAATCGGTGTTAAATTTGAACGCCACATTAATCTATAGGGAAAACCATGAACAAAAAGCCCAACCTCGTTAAAATCTGATGAGATTTGGCCGAGTTATGGAGGTGGGAAATTTTGACTAATGTCTCTATACGAATCTTGGACATCGCACATACTCTATGCGAATCTTAGGGTAAGATTTGGACATGAATTTCGACTAAAATATCGGTGCTCCGATTTGAATGCCAGATTAATCTAGAGGGAAAACCATGAACAAAAAGCCCAACCTCGTAACAATCGGATGAGATTTGGCCGAGTTATGAAGGTGGGAAGTTTTGACCAATGCCAGATTAATCTAGAGGGAAAACCATGAATAATGAGCCCAACCTCGTTAAAATCTGATGAGATTTGGCCAAGTTATGGAAGTGTGAAATTTTCACCCATGTCTATATACGAATCTTGGAAGTCGCGCGTACTACTTATATGCGAATCTTAGGGTAACATTTAGACATGAATTTCGACTAAAAAATCGGTGTTCCGATTTGAATGCCAGATTAATCTATAGGAAAAACCATGAACAAAAAAGCCAACCTCGTAAAAATCTGATAAGATTTGGCCGAGTTATGAAGGTGGGAAGTTTTGACCAATGTCTATATACGTATCTTAGGGTAAGATTTGGACATGAATTTCGACTAAAATATCGGTGCTCCGATTTGAATGCCAGATTAATCTAGAGGAAAAACCATGAACAAAAAACCCAACCTCGTAAAAATCTGATGAGATTTGGCCGAGTTATGGAGGTGGGAAGTTTTGACCAATGTCTATATACGTATCTCAGGGTAAGATTTGGACATGAATTTCGACCAAAAAATCGGTGTTCAAATTTGAATGCCAGATAAATATAGAGGGAAATCCATGAAGAAAAAGACAAACCTCATGAAAATCGGATGAGATTTAGCCAAGTTATGGAAGTGGGAAATTTTCACCCATGTCTATATACAAATCTTGGAAGTCGCGCGTACTACTTATATGCGAATCTTAGGGTAAGATTTGGACATGAATTTCGACTAAAAAATCGGTGTTCAGATTTGAATGGCAGATTAATCTAGAGGGAAAACCATGAACAAAAAGCCCAACCTCGTAAGAATCGGATGACATTTGGACGAGTTATGGAGGTGGGAAATTTTGACCAATGTCTACATGCGAATGTTGGAAGTCGCGCGTACTACTTATATGCGAATCTTAGGGTAAGATTTAGACATGAATTTCGACTAAAAAATCGGTGTTCAAATTTGAATGGCAGATTAATCTAGAGGGAAAACCATGAACAAAAAGCCCAACCTCGTAAGAATCGGATGACATTTGGACGAGATATGGAGGTGGGAAATTTGACCCATGTCTATATACGAATATTTATGTAAATTTTTGATTTGGCATTTCTGAGGTAATAAGCCTAGGCGATTGTCGACGAATGCTATAATAGAGCAGTCATAGGCATATCTAGGCTTATTGATTTGGTACTTATTTAAAAAAAAAGTAGTTGGTAAGTCTACTATTCCTAAAAATGTATTTATCTCCGCATAATTCTTCGCAATATTGTCCATGGTTTAAAGACAATCTTGGATAGAAATGCAGCAAACGGAATATAAACTTAGGGATTTGATTACGATTGGAATAAATCTATGCAATTATTATTCGAGCTTATTTTCTGGGCTATGAATAAAGCTAATAAATTGCTTAAGTAAATATAATAAAACTATAAATAAAGTAGTTATAATAATAATAATAATAATAATAATATAATAATAATAATAATAATAATAATAATAATAATAATAATAATAATAATATTAATAATAATAATAATAATAATAATAATAAAAATATATAATAATAATAATAATCTAATTGAAAGCTGACATTTGAAATGAATGTAGACTTGTTTTATTACATAATTTTTCATTTTATTGATTTACTTGAATGCAATACACGCCGAACCGACAGATTCTCGTTATACATCAGCTAAATTCAGTTTGCATTATTATTGACGAGCATCGCGACTCGATTTCAGTATTATGCAAATGTTTATCTGTATTATTCAATATTTATAATTTGTTATGTCTATAATTAAACATATGACAGTGTTTGGGTTTTATATTGAGAGCAACAAACACGACGGCAACGGCGGCACGCCCCCTAAAAGGCCGAGAGCTGGAAAATTTTAGAAATCTGTCCATTTGATTGCCGTTTTGTATAAAAATTGTTTGTTGTTGTTGTTGTTGCCGATTAGCGTGCCACAAAGGCCGTTAGTTGTTGTTGCTACTGCTGCTAATGTTATTTCTATGGTTGTCTATTTTATTATATTAGTTTTAGTGTTAGTTATAGTTTAATTCAATTCAATTTCATTTATTGCTACACGTATGTCAAGTATATATACAAAAATTCATCAACTACGCTAAACAATTTCCAGTGTTTGCCTTTTTTAATTATAACAATATTATTTTTTATTTATTTGCTGTTGTTGTTGTTTATCGTAATGATTTAGTTTCGTTTAAATTTTAATTTACGTTGAATGCAATTTCATACAATGATTTCTTGCTACACTTTAATTTAAGCTGCCTTATATTCTCTATGTGTATGTGTGTGTGTGTGAGTGTGTGTGTGTGTGAAATGCATTAAGTTGCCGCATAAATGTTGTTCTTTACAAATACATATATATATATATTCTTTAATACGAAATGCTAAACTTTGGTTTTATGCTACAAATGTGCACACAATGGCCAACACATAAATTAAACATTTAAGAAACTTAAGACTATAACAAAAATAATAAAAAATAAATTATAGAAAAAGAGAAGAAAAAAACAATTGTTTTTCTGTGCCAACGGCTAAGTTAGATGGTGTGTATATAGTATTATTTTATGTATGTGCCCCCTTTTGCTTGATTGATAAGAATTCCTGTTGTTATCATATATGATATATATAGATTATTTGAAACCCTTGAGACTGCAGTGCATGGCTTTTTGACTTGGGTTCTTAAATTCGAGTACAACATATAGCGGATCTGGAGAGGAACTAAATTGTGATCTGGCAATGCGAAGTATAAGGCTAGATATTTATATATATATATATGTATGTGGACTGTGCCCAACTGAAGGTGCATTTTCTAACATTGTTTTGGACATTGCTTAAATATACAAAATGAAAACTCTTCCAATTTTGGCTTAAACTTAAATGAACTACAAACAATTATTGGTTCAATTGCTAAAGAACAAACTAAACAAGAGTGTACGAAAGGTGAATATTGGTTTTTTTGTACAGAATGTTTGACAAAATGTAGATTTTCTATTGTTCTATAATTAATGGGAGTTTCTCTTTTTAGCCTCAACTACTTGTAGAAGCAGCAGCAAACGAATTCATAATCATTTTTTGTTTTGTTTTTGTGTTTTCTTTTTCTGATATATTGTTAACGTATTCGATGTGACATATGGAAGTATCGGGCGACTCGGCAGCGCATCGGTTGATGCCCTTCATAAGTTAAATGCCATCATTGCAATTTATTTATTGAGCTGAAACATATCAACTACACATATTGATTGTGTTAAATAATACTTGGGGTTCTTTGTTTTTCTTTTGCTTTCTGTTTTTAGAGGACAAAAATTCAGCAGGAATCATTAAGAGTTAAGAGAGAAAATTGGGATAGATAAATGGATGCGAATCGAAGCACCGATTAAAGTAGCATTTAAATTGTTTTTTTTTTTTCTTTTTTGTAAAGTTCGCTTAGAAAATTGCCATATGCGTTACATAAACGTTTTGTTTCTTGTTCTTATTGGGTTTTCGCTTTTTGTTTTTTACTTTTTGGTAAGCTTACAAAACTAGTTAAATACTTGCTATTTCAATAGTACATACAAGTAGGTATATAAATTATAAAATAGTTTTCGCGTGTAAAATATAAAATGTTGCATTTTCATCATCATCAATTTCATTAGATATATATATATATATATATATATATATACGCTTATACACATATACATATATAGAGTTTATGTTTATGTTTATGCTAATGTTATACGTGTTGTTGCTGTTGTTGTATGCCTTGCCATTTAAAAGTCTTAAGAATTATAGTAAATATGTATAAATATTTACGTTATATATAGATAACGTTATAAATATATATATTTATAGATGTGTTGTATTGTGTTTTGTATTGTGTGTGTGTGTGTGTGGGTGTTGTGACGACTCCTTCGCTACCGCTTAATCCTGAACTTCCCGATACGGCACCTCCGACGTCACCGAGAACGACTCAAAGTAATGATTTAAGAACTCAAATGTGGGCCGTTTTTCGGGCACTGCATCCCAGCATTGGAGCAGCAGATGATAGATGTTGTCGGGGAAATAATGAATCGTTGGCTTTGGCATGCGAAAACCGCGCTCGATATTCTCAATCACCTCCCGACTATGCATGCCCGGATAGGGCACTTGTCCGTACGTAAAAAGCTCCATCAGCAATATGCCATATGACCAGACATCCGACTTGATACTAAACTTGCCATAGATGATGGCCTCGGGCGCTGTCCATTTGACGGGGAACCGAGAACCCTGCTTGGGACAATACTCATCGTCGGCAATGACGCGCGCTAAACCGAAATCACAAATCTTTGCCACATTATTCTCGCCGATGAGCACATTGCGCGCCGCCAAATCGCGATGGATGAGCTGCTTGGATTCCAGATACTCCATGCCGCTGGCCACCTGTGTGGCAATATAGATGAGATCCTCGAAGTGCAGATAGCGTCCCTCGCCTTCGCGCAAAAAGTCCAAAAGGCTGCCATTCGACATGTACTCCTGCACAATATAAATGGGCTCCTCCTGCATGAATGAATGGAAAGGATTTAGTTCAGCTTTTGCTTCTGGTCAAAGCACACTGCCGACTGACCTGCGAGCAGACGGCGTAGAGTGCCACGAGGCGATTGTGTCGAAACTTCTTCATGATGGCCGCCTCCTGGAGGAATGCGGCCGTTGACATTGTGCCCTCGCGCAGCGTTTTGACCGCCACATCGATGCTGTTGCGCCACTTGCCGTAGAACACCTCACCGAAGTTACCGCGTCCCAGTTTGCGCAGCAGCTGAATCTCAGAGCGTGGTATTTCATATTTGTCGCGCAGCTCCGGGCCCAGATCCCACATCTGTGGCTGCGGTTTGGGGCAGGGACGCGACAGTATGTGACACAGGCCGAGCGCGTTTTCTGCAATAGAGTGTACGATTTGAAGAGAGCTGCCCGTCCCGAAATTATGTCCATTACTCACTGCTGTAGGCCATGACGAGGGCCTGAAGCGAGGCAAAGGTTTGATTTGTGGCTATGTAGAAGCCGCCATTGTCCAAAGGCTTGATGCGATAGTGCTTCACATGATATCCGCGTCCGTCCTCCCAGTCCTTGACGGACAGCGAATAGCCATTGGGATTGTGTTCCGAGGGACGCACCAGAAATGTGCCGCGCGGATTCTCCTCGGCCAGCAGCAGCTTATCCGCCTCCTTGCGTAGCACATTCTCAAAGAACCAGCTGCGGGCGAAGGTGGCACAATTAACAAATGACAGTCGATAGTTGATATAGACACACGACTTACTCCTCGCTGTTGACGCTGCGCTCCTCGGCGACAAAGTTGAGCGGTATCAGGCCCTGCTGGCGCGTGGTCAGATTAACGACGCGCCACCAATCCGATTCGGTGTCATCGACAACCTCCATGCGGTCGCCTTTTGTAAAGCTCAAGTCGGATTCATCGCGCGATTTGTAATCGTAGAGAGCGACAACGACGCGTCGCTTCGGCAGGCCACCAGGCACGCCGGCTGCTAATAGAATGAGACAGCAATAGAGAGTGTGTGAGGGAGAGAGCGAGGGAGAGCGACAGCTGCAGGCAGGCAATACTCGTCTGGCTGTAAATTTGATTTGCAGGGCAGCGATCCGTGTCATGGCATAAATTGCAAATTTATGGGCGACAAATTTGAGCATCAATTTTAAATCTAATTGCCAGTTAATGAGCTGCGGCCAGGGTCAGGTGGAAGGAGTCTGGCAGGTAAATTGCAAAATTTATTAGCATACATTTTGGCGCATCTTCCAGGGATGTGCGCCAAAAGAAAAAAACAATTGCATTTGCATGCCAAGCCACAATTCCAATTGGATACCCTGGTATTTTGTAAAACCAGTGCTGAAGTAAGTTTTTCCGACCTCAAAGCGAGCTAGCCAGGCCGTCTGTCTGGCTGTCCGTATAATAACTAAAAGATGCAGAGCTCTTCCTATTGCCCGGGCAGATCAAGCTTCAATCCTGGATCATTTCCGACCTCAGAGACATCTAGCCAGGTCGTCTGTCGGGCTCTTCCTATTCTCCCCGCAAATCAAGCTTCAATCCTGGCTCGTCAGGCACTTCCGTCCGGCGAGCTCTTGTTTCATTTGTTGCCCCTCCCGACGCAACATTTTGGCACTGAATAGCATTTGGCTAATTGATTTAGCCCACACGGACAACTTGGCATGCCTTGCATTTGATTTGTTGTTTCTATTTCTATTTCTGTTATTTTTGTTGCCTTGCCCTGCATTTGGGGCATAAGTGCTGACACACGTAGAACGCACAAATCTCGGTCCAAGCTTTCAGCCTTTGTCAACGCATTTGACGGGTTTACACGACCTAAGCCGCTTTGCCTCAACTCAATCTGGACGCATAGACACACACACACACACACACACAATGCAATGCTAAATACCCGAGCTAATCAAGCGGCGATTAGGCGCAGTCATTGCTGAACAAGAAACCCGCAAACCCCAGGCCCTGCCCCGCCCCGCCTCTGCCATCAGCTTGAACATGGCTTAAAATGTGGCAGTCAAAATCTTTCAAGAATTTTCTTGAACATGGTTTAAATTGGCAGAGCCAAGTGCACTTTTAGCTGCTGCTTTTGTGGCTCGCCCTGGAATATCAGTTTTCCTGTCATATGCTAAAGAGATTTCTTGTCGAGCTCTCCCTCTCTCTTTCCCATCTCAGCTTGTCTTTTTATAGCTCAACAATCCTTTAGGAATCTGCTCTGCAATTTTTCTCTTAAGCTCTTAAGGCAAAGTCTGCACGTGTCATCCTTCACAGTTTTGAGCTTATCCAGGGTAAATGTCTGTTCATGCCCACGCATTCGTCAGAGTTCATATCTCATAGCCTTTTGCAGTCTGGAAAAGTTGTCAGATTTGCTCGCTTTTTTGATACACTGCAAGGCGAGGAGGATCCTGCTTTCTAGACTTCGATTTCATCTTATTTAAAAAGTCATTAAATGTCCCTTTGCCAGATAATATTTGATTGCGTGGTGCTCTATCAAGTAAATGACCCACAGTCGTTGCGAAAAGTTCTTTATATGTTATTGAGAAAGAAGAGCTATCTATCGACATGCCATGGAGTTAATACCCTTGCAAACCGAGCCTATTTACAATGTTCATATTGCTTTTCTCGCATCTAAGAAGCACAGGAAAAATAGTTAATGCTATATGATATAATCAAGCGATCCAGCCAGATCCGACATATGTCCTACGTGCAACATAAGAAGGACGATAGCTTTCAAAATGAGCGACAAGAAAGTCAAGAGACGGACTGAGGGACAGTCAGACGGGCGGACGGACGGAGAGGCAGACGTACAGACGGACTTGTCTATATTAACTCGGCTGATCTGGAATATATATACTTTATAGGGTCGGAAATGTCTCCTTCTAAGCGTCACACATTTGGAGATAAAATTTTAATAACCTCTGCAAGGGTATCAAAGAGTATCAGTAAGCACTTTAGCTTGTCGGAGTCTCTTAATGGAATTCCAGAGGATGTTCGATTGCTTCTGCAATTAGTGGAATCGTAAAGATTCCTCAGAGTCCATAGAAGAGCTATTGGCTAACTAGGACAGGACCCTGAATCGGCTCCAGCGAACTCGCCGTCTACTACGTTGCCTTAGCTTTCCCCGTTACCCTGTTGTGCTAGAGTACATATACATGCGTAATTTGTTTGCCTGCTGGGGTGCAGGGTGTGGAGCTCTCTGGTGGTCTCCGGGACCTTGCCGTTTTAATTAGCTATTTGACTTTGTTTTGCTGCCAGTGTCAGTTTAGCTTTAACCTTTGGCCAAATGCTAGTTGGCATTTATATAAAAGTTATAACACACACACGCAGTCGGTTTCACATAATTAAAGTTTGCGTCTCTGGTGGCAGTTGATTGGAAGGTGGAGTTGCGAGTTCAGACGGCGCGCAGAAGGTCATTCTAAGTCTCATATTTGCCGTGCTTGTGTGACAGTCGAATTAACCTTGACCAATTGCCTTTTGGGGCCCTCAGCTTATGCATATGTGTGTGTAGCTCCAGTTGACAGGTGAACTGCAAATTGCATAATTACAGCACAGTCGCGCACTCGACGCAAATGTTAAAATATGCACAAAAAGAATCTACATATTGAATGGGCAATATAGTTAAGCAAGGGGTTTCAAGGGGAAGAGGGGGAAATATATATTGTATATAAGCAATATATTATCGCCCAAACAGATGCAGTCTGTGTTTAATGAGAAAACTAAAAATGCCTCAAGAAGTTTCAGTCACACGAAATTCTATCTCCGATAAGGATTACGCCACAAAACTATCGAAATGTGCTTTGCACAGTCCGATTAATTTAACCTAGCCGATTATCGATCTCTGATAACGATTGATTATCGATATAAACTCTGCAATGCATTGCTACTCTTTCTGAGACTCCCTTTACATTCACATTATTAGACTTACTTGGCGTGGTGCGCGTTCGTATGATGTCCACGCCGCCCTTGGCGCCAATTTTAAGCGGTCCCCGATTCGGATCGGGCGTATATCTGGAGTCCAATGAGCCGCCATTGTTGTGCTTCTGGCCGAGTGCGGCAACAACGCCGGCGCCGACGCTGCTGTTGCTATTGATGTGCGTCTGGCCAAAGGTGTAGTCGGATTTCTTGTAGCCGCCCGTCGGATAGGCCAGCGCCAGTTCCTGATCCTGGCGCTTGCTGCAGCATTTGTTGCCCATGTTTGCAGCTGACTGTGGCAGCTAAATGTGGAGGGTAGTTGTTGCTGTTGTTGTTGTTGCAGTTATTGTTGTTGTTGTTGTTGCGACTTGAAATTAGCAGCAGCTGCAGCGGCAACGCATATTTGGCATATCACGAGTTGCAATATTTACTTAATACAAATTAAAAACGTTTTCTTTGCTGCGCTGCTGCTGCTGCTGCCTTTTTGTTGTATTTTGTAGTTTATGCTATCAGTCAAGTTGTGTGTGAGTAGGTGTGCGAGTAAGTGTGTGTGTGAGTGTGTGTGTTTGTGTATGAAGTGTCCTTTTAAGCTGCTTGCATCAAGAGTTGCATGGAGGGCATTGCATTGTTTTGCTTTTAAGCGTTTTCAAAAATTCATTTTGTTTATGTAAAAAAATTGTTGTTTCCTCTGTTGCTAATGTTGTTCCTCTTCTTCTTCTTGTTGTTGTTCCTGTTGTTGTTGTGCGTTATTGCCGTTGATTATCCTTGCGTTTGTTGTCCTGCCAGCGTGCTCAGCCAGCAACTGTCTGCACATTGTTCAAGCCTGCTCCACCTGCAACACAACAAAATGTAAACAGAACCAAAAAAGAAAAATTAGCTAGGACTCTGCTATAAATATTCATTAAAAGAGCATTTCACAAACGCACAACCAAACCACTGGCACACCGACACACACACACACACACACACCTATCCAAAGGGCAAGTCAAGTCAGTGACCCAAGCCTGTCCTGCGTTGTCCTGGTGCTGCTGCCTGCAGCTTTTCCCTTCGCTCCGTTCTCTAGATAAACGTTTTTGGCACATCATTTCACTTGACTTGGCAGCTCGGAACGACCTGCACCAGCAGAAGCAGCAGCTGCAGGTTGACCAGAGCCCACGCGACAGTTGCTGTTGTTGGCATCGAAAGGGCAATTGCAACAACCGCAAGCAAACACGACCTAGTTGAGGCTGTCTGACTGGAAGATACCCATGATATTCAAAATTGTGTGTCCATTTTTCCGATGTGTTGATGCAGTGAAAACTCTCCTGATGGACACGTATGCTAGGCGAACATTTTCTATCAAGCCATTTCCATTTCACTGTTGAAAGAATATTTCCTTAAGTGGACACAAGCTACCCGACATTCGTTGCCGCCCAAGGGTGTTTTCACTGAAGGTGCACGTTGAGTCGGGGTTTCGGGAAATTTGACCCGCATGTGTGGAAAAATCGTGAAAAACGTTTGCATAAAACTTTTTTGTTTACCATTCAATCGGCTCATTTTCAAAGATCTTCGCACAAATTCATTTGGTAATTGCTTGGATGGAAGATGCGGGTCGAGAGTTTAATAAACGATAGTTTATTCTTCAGCTTCAAGATTCTCATCGCAATCCCTTAATTCCAACATTTGGTTTTTTAGTCGACGCATTTAAAACATATTTTCAAATATAACTGGAGATCAATATGGGTAGTTTTTTCTTTTTCACTGGGGTGTAATTAGGGGAAAAGTACCATCTAAAACTTGTAGCACAAAACGTTCCACGGGCAAGGCCGGGCAATATAAAATGTTGCCTATACTATTTGAGAACTAACCAACCACAACATACATAGTTTGGTTTCGCTAGCTTTTATTATCTGTGAGCTATACTAGTGCTTAGCATCGATATTTATCGATTTTGGTGATCAATAGCTAGTTGAAACATCTGAATCCGAGAGTTAATACTTGGAGTTCCGAGTTCTTCAAATTTCTTAGTTCAATAATATATACACCCCTATACACTAGCTGCCTGTTACATACATTCGCCCAGCTGTAATATACCCTCCCATTTAATCACTTTCAATGGGCATAACAATTGCCTGCCTGAATAACAGCTGGAACGGGAGTGCACATTGTCTATTGACTGAAGGCCTGGCGGGCATCTGTTTATTGTTCAATTGGATAATTATGGTTTAGTGTGTGCGTGTGTGTGTGTGTGTGTGTGTGTGTGTGTGTGTGTGTGTGTTTGTGTATGTGTGTGTATGTGAGTGTGAGTGAGTGCGAGGCCAAGGCTGGCAACAACCACAACCGAGCACACAAACGGCTGCTTTGTTGCACAAATTGTTGCAGCACTTGCCCCTAAAATTAAATTGTTATTGTTGCGCATTTGTTGGCAGGATATTTAAGTGTGTCTGTGTAAGTGTGTGTGTGTTTATCAGTGTGTGCGTGTGTCCGTGTGTGTGTGTGCACAGCTGCTATGAAATTGTGCTGCCAGTTGGCAGGCTGCATTTGCGGCATTAACTAATATCCTGGCATTAGCTCAAGTTATCTATTGCTGTCAATTATTAAAGTGCTGCCTAAAGTGTGCCACATTTAAATCAGGAGTTTTGCTCGACAGCTAGATACCCTACAGCTAGTCAAAGTCCACACTTTGGAAAATTCTTGCTTGATTTGAAACAATCTCCATATTTATACCTATTTCTGAGAAACAGAGAAAGAGAGAGAGGGAGAAGCCAATAAAACCCAGAGGGACAACAAAGGCGCAATAAAAATGTTATCTGTGAAATGGAAATCGCAGAGAGTCAAATATTGACATGGCTTGCAAATTCTATTGGCTTTCACCTTTCGCTAAGCACATCAAATTGTGTTGCCAGGACAACGACGTCGGAGTCTGCGTTTATTGTCCTGTTCGGTCCTTGTACTGTCGAGTTGTTAAAAGCAACGCGTCGCGCTTTAAGCATCCGAAAAAACAACAACAAACCCAATAAAAACAAACTTTATGCACATTTTGCGTGCCGCATAAAATTCAAACTTTTCATTTCGGCGAGTTCATGAACCCCTCAAGGCGTCTGCAGGGGTCAACGAGGGGTATTAAAGGCCAAAGCACAAGAGCAGACACAAACACACACACATTAAGTGCGGCGACAGTCTTAATAAGGTCAATGAATCGTGGCATTTTATTGCCATAAAATGTTTGGCGAAATTATTTTTATCACCTGCACGAGGTAAAACAGGTGAGGGGGGGGACAAGACAAGACTGGCATGTCTGTGACCTGAATGTTTGTTAAATATCGCAGATCTAAACATAAACAAATGTGAGCATAAATATATATATATATAGAATATGTCGAATGCGCAAACAATAGAACAAAATTCCATATATATAGCCTTGCAAAGGTTATCTTATTCATTTTATCTTTTATCTCTTTTAATATGTAATTTGCTAAATTTTTTTTTTTTATTTTTTTATCTACGTAGAATGTACATCAAACATTAAATCAATTATCATTTTGAATTACATGAATATTTGATTTAATATTCAAAGAAACCAATAATAAACCATTTAAATTAACAATTAATTTAAATAAATAATTAATTCTAATTAATAATGAATTATTAATTTAAAGGAAATTAAATTTGAATTGGTAACAATAATAATAATTTAAATTATTCATTATTCCAGTTTCTTTCTTCACACAAAAGCTTTCGCATGTATTTCCCGGCACGTAATTGATTGCACAGTAGACAGAAATCAGGGACAACAAAGGCTAGTTCTTCTGTTTTAAATTTAGTTTAGAGAATGTAAACTTTTGTATTCCCAGGCACGAAATTGATTTTATGACGCCGCATTTAAAGATCGAAGCCCCGTAAAGACGCGTAAATAAAAATAAGCAACGAAGTTGACCAGTCGAAATTCAGTTTAGTTTTTCTAGCAGCTAAAATTTAGTTAAGTTAGAAAACTTCTTCTAGTTGAAATTCACATAGAAAATTTCAGAGAATTTAAGCTTCGGTACTTCAACAAAACATTTTCAGCTTTACCTTCCCCCTCCCCCTCGCCCATCCCCACCCATTTTGATTGATAGAGTTACGGGCCGCTATAATTTCCGTCAGTTGGTTTGTGGCTGCCATTTTTCACAACACCTCAAAAGTAATTGAGGCCGTTGCATGCGCTGCTAACGGCCGACAGGTGGCGCTTTAACATGGTAAAAATATATATGTGTACTCAATTCAATTCGGTATTTTTAGGGGGAGCAGGAAGAGGTCAAAGTTGAAAACCGAAAATATGAATATTTCATTTGTAGTTGTCATGGCCAGTTGCGCGGGGGGGAAGTGGCAGTTGCCAGTTATCCGAATGCGACATACTTTGTGTATGTGTGTCAGTGAGACTCCGTGTGTGTGTTTGTGTGTGTGACATGAAATTGTAAATTTCTAGCTTTGTCGACCATGTTTTGATGCCACACTCGAGTTGTTGCTGTTGTAGTTGAATTTCCACTGTTCGAGTTGACAAAACGAAATGAATACTTAATTGGAAATTGTGGCTTTGAATGCGCCTGAAAGGCGGCAACGCATATGCATGACATCAAACTCATATCATGTACTGCATTGTGGTTGGTTATAGCTGGTCATTTCGACCAAAAATCATACTTACTAAATGAAGCATTCACGGGGTTTCGACAAAACCAGAAAATAATGCAAGCCCAATGCTATAATTGAAGAAAGACTAAGAATTGGCATTGTTCTAGTCGAGCAAGCTTGACAATAATATTTACCTAAACGTGTAAGTCAATATTAATGAACGCATATTAAATTACAAAAATAAATAAACACTTCTCCAAAGTAAGCAAAATCTGTTAGCATGACTTGAGTTTGTGAGAATTGCATAGAAGGGCGCAACAAAAGTAAAGCGTGAGAAAGTCACAAGCTGCGCAAGAACTTCAAAAAGTAGGATAAAGGGTAAAAAGGAGAGAGAGCGAGAGGGAGTAAGAAAAGGTCACTCCGTATTATAAACCCTTGCTTTACTTTATGGGTCAAAACTAAGTCAATCGCAGACCTAAACCTTTCCACTTTCGCTCACATTTGCTTAAAATATAAAATAAAAATGCTCTATTTAGCATACACATTTTCACTTTGCGTGTCACCATCGTAGTTTGTATCCTATTGTTAGAAGGGGCGAAAAAGCGATTTCACAAATTGCAAAGAGAAGAAGAGAAAATCCCCGGCGGCAGACCCAAAATCGCCGCACATCTAATAAAATCTAATAAAATGCAAAAATGTATGAAATGAAATGGGCAAAAGCCATGTGGCTGGCTCGAAGGGCGTTGACTGTGTGCGGCAATCCTCGAGGACATTTCAGGCATTAACTGTAAATGCCGTAATGCCGTCATTTCCTGATGACAGCCTGACAAAACCAGGAACGCAGAGATACACACCCGAACCGCACACCCATCATGATTTAGATACAGATGCGTGTGTGTGTGTGTGGAAGGGGGGGTGTGCTCCTTTACATTATTTTTGGTTTTGTGGGGGCGTTTGTTGTTGCTCAGTTTTATTACGCCACATTATTACAATACGTATACGCCCCCACCAGCCCGGCCTACTCCGCGCTGCGCTACTTAAAAAGTCAATTTTTGTGACGTCGCCATCGTCCTGTTGCCGTGTGCCATTTGCTGTTGCGCCCCTTAAGCCCTTCCTGTCTAGCTTCTAAATGTCTATCCCCTGTCAGTCGTTCACCTTTAAGCGTCACGTGCTATCGATTAACCTACACACACATATATACACACATTATATATATAAAGATCTATTGACTGTAGCTATGCCACA